ACTGCTTAGTGCATTTTAATCGCGCTGTTTAGCGTATCGCACTGTCCTGTGCATTTCAAAATCAATCGTACCGTTCAGCGTATCGCACTGTCTTGTGCATTTCAAATCACTCGCGCTTTCTTGCGCATCGCACTATTTTGTGCAATTTACGCTTGCGCTGTTTAGCGTATCGCATTGTTTCGTGCAATTTACTTTCGCGCTTTCTTGTGCATCGCACTGTTTTGTGCATCACATTGTTTCATTTGCGCTATTTTGTGCATCGCACTATTTTGTGCAGTTTACACTCGCGCTCTCTTGCGCATCGCACTATCTTGTGCATTTCATTACATGCTCTCTCTCATCTTGCATAGAAAATGCTTGTAGCATTTGTCAGTGCATTGCATCGCACTGTTTTGTGCACCTTACTTACATTTTGCAGGCATTCTATCGCGCTATCTTGCGCACCTCACTTGTACTTGTTTGTACATTGCATTGTTTTGAATACAAACCAGCTTCGCGTAGCGTATAAGTCCAATTGTCAAAGTCTTCTTTCATATCATTTGCATCCTGCCCCTGAACTACGCTGGTTTGATTCCTTGCAAAGGGATACGTAGGCAGCTTGCGGGCACAACCATTCATTCATTTGTATTTTGCTTGTTTGTCCAAGTTTTCGGTGTTGTCAAAAATAGGTCGTGTCTGGGCTTTGACATTCACTCCCGTCATTCTTATGACTTCCGAGTTCTGTCAAAGAGGGGCAACTGTAGACACCCCATTTTTGACAGCCCATAAGACTTGGGCGTTACTGATGGTTTACTTGGTGATAAAAGGTGTGTAGGGCAAAGATCCAGTTTCTTCGGCAAGGAGAGAGACAAGTCTCAAATTCACACCCCGTTTTGGACCAAAGCTATTTGGATGGTTTTTAGACCTTAAAACCCTCTCTTTCAAAAAAATTTTGAAATAAAGTTTCTGCGTTGTTCCGAGGCTCGCATTTTGTCAAACGTTGCGCTTTTTGGTAAACCGAGCAGGGACGAAGTGGAAATGAATAAAAGAGAGATGAAATCTTTGAAAAATCTTTCAAAACACCTTCCTTAGGGGTTTGAAGTTGAAGAAAGGAGGGGAAGAGAGAAGAAACCAAGTTGGAGGAGAAGACAGGCATGAATCTGGGTAGAAGGGAGTCGAGCAATCCTCGCTGAATTGGGCTTATTAATCTGCATACTTGGATTTTAGCTATGGGGCCACCACCGTTGGAAAGCTCACTTCGGGGGCTTCATTTTTCACTCAAGAATCTCTTAAAGCCAAGTTCGGGTGGGGGAGATATGATCAGTTGAAGTTGGGCATCATCCCGGTTCGATCGAATCTGCGCGGCTTCACCAAAAAGGGCATAACTTTTTGCACAGGAGGAATTTTAATGCAAGGTTTGCGCCATTGGAAAGCTAACTTCTGGGGCTTCAATCTAGACACCACCGGCCACTTTTTTACCTTGGAAGCATCTGTCGGCAATCTATTTTTCCGACTAGAAATTTATTGTGCTGATCGGCCAGAAAAGATGGCTGACCGACCAAGTTTGCTAGCCGACGACCTTCCGGAGTATTCTACAGATTGAATGGATGCCAGCTATGCCAGTTGGAATGCACAGACTCTGCTCCCCACGCACGTGTGTGGCTGTTTTGCACCCTTTGCATCCCTTTTGACCCTCTTTTTTGCACCCTTTGCTCAAAGCTTCTTGAGGAAGCTTTGACCCCTTGTCTTGGCTTCCTCAAGAAGCTTGCACCTTTGCATTAGCTTCTCTTAGAAGATTGGTCCCTTTGACCCTTTTGTATAGCTTTTTTGAGAAGCTTTATGCCATTTCCTTGCTCTATAAAAGAAACCCATCCTCCTCCATTGTTTTGGTTCAGCAAAATCAGACCTAATACATACATATAACATATATATCACCCTCTCTCTCTATATCTCCCTCTCTCTCTACATTTGGGTGTGTTAGAGTGTTCAAAGACCCTTGTTCCTGGCCTATTGCACCACACCTCATAGCCATACACCACTACCATTGGACTGAGGTTCTTGGGAGGGTTTATTGAGCTCCAAAAGCTGGTTTTTGGCCCCTGAAGCTGCTGGTCTCCAATTTGGTCTTCAAGGGTAAGTTTCTTCCCCTTTTTAGCACTTTCTTGTACCTCATTTTAGTCTGTCTTACTTGCTGATTTGAGCTTAGCGTATAACATAAAAAAGTTCTGTTCTTTTGTGTTTAAGATACTTCATTAAGACCACTTTTGTGTTTGGGGTCGTTTACCCCCTCTTAGGCCTTGTTTGGCCCCTTTTTTGTGTGATTTTGGTGAGCTCCGGGACCACCTTGTTTGGGCCTCCTCACCACTAAAATCTTGAGGGATCTCAGTGGTGAAGATGGTGGTTTGAGGTCCTAAGAAGGAGAGGGGTGACCCTCTCCCTTGTTTGTTGCCCTTTTTGGCCTTTTGGCCTTCCAAAGGGGCTCCTATTTGCATGCTTCCAAGCCTTGTTTCAAGAAAATTTCAGTGGGTTTTAGGACCCCCATAAGCCATTTCCAGAGTTGGTTTGGTCTTGCTAAATGTCTATCTTGCATGTGCTTAATAACTCCTTGGATCGTCCTCTAAAGTAACTCATCATTTTTGCATGCCATGGTTGCATATCAGTGGTTATTTGGGCCTATTTTCACATGTTTTATTCACTGATTTTTGATGGTTTGGTGAGATTCCATGTGCATCATATACTTGCCATACAACCCATGTTTGCTAGTCAAAGTTGCATGCTATTTTAGTCCATCTTGCTAACATCTTTTGGCCATGCTTTGAACTGGAAATATGCATGTTTTGGGACTGTCTTGCATCTGTCTTCATGCTTCATGATCAAATAATGCATGCTTTGTATAGCTATAGGCCAATGCGTATGCCTAGTTTTGTGTTTCGGGGCCATTCCATGCACCGGGTGCCATGTTTCCATGATTATGTGAGGTACGTCCACGAGATCGAAATCCGATTCCACTATCAACCAAATAAGTTCCAAACGATTACAAACGAGACACTAATGGTCTCACAAAATCACCCTTAGGTGAATTTCAAATAATCACAAATAAACAAAGAGGAAAGACCTCACCAAATAGATGAACCAAAAACTTCTGAATCAGAGTTGAAGAAGATCCAAAATAACAAACCAAAATAAAACCGAAAGCCGAACCACACGAAGCAGAACTGACCCAAACGTTTGACTCCACTGAATTGCTCTCAATCAGCCGCAGCACATTATCTCACCAAGAAAGAATCAATTGGCAGCCACACTATTCCACCCAAGTATTATTTCACCAAGGAAAAAGTGTATTTGCTGCCACTTTTTCTTCACAACTTCCACGGGGCAAAAAAACATAAACAATATATATGTATATATTGTGAATTTAGGGTTTTGTAATCAAATCTAATTGTATCCAAATTGGATTGGGTTTCCTCAAATATAATATATAAAAATATATTATACCTAAATCAAGTCAAATTAAAACTCTTTTAATAAACCAATTGGGTCCCACACTCCAATAAGGAGGTATACCCAACAATGCTCTCGTAGATTGCAAGAACTTAATGTCAAAATTTCCCACCTGTTGTATTTCACCAGTACGGTATAGCACATCCATATTAAGACCTTGATTTTTAAAGACTGCATCACTCTAGGGGTCCTCATCCAATCCAAGCAATTCATCCTTCAATATTACACACAGCCAGTCAATATTTTATTTAATATTGTATTTGCAAGAAAAACAGCAGGACATAATAACTGCAGCAAAATATGTAAACACATGTCTACATAACTTCAACATGTAAATCAAGATTTGATGCAGCATATCTAACAAGTACCACAGACCAGTTTATAAGTTTAACATACAGGAAAGACCTGCTGCCTCCTAATAGCCAGAAGGGCAAGAGAAAAATATTTTAGAGCCTCACGTGTAGCGTAGACCATGTGAATGAAAGGGTAAACATAAGGAAAAATCAATCCCATTACATATCAAGCAAAAAAGGAAAATACATATGTTATTTATGAAGCAATTAGTCTAATTATAATGGAATGCCAGAATATCATGTTAGGTAAACTTAGGTGAAAATTGTAAGTCTTCTTGACTTTGTGTTTGTATTTTTTGATCATGGTGGATTTTCTCTTACTGTTGGGACTGTGATTTTTTATCCTGTTGGGTTTTTCATGTAAAATATGATATTCATGTGTTGATTGTTTATTCACAAGATTGTTTATTTAATTGATTGACCTATTCATCTCCTTTAAGCACTTTGGACTCCGTAATTTCACAAACATAGTGCTATTGCAAATTAAGTAAATTTTCAATGCAACAATTGGGCTTTTTAACAACAGTTAGAATCATAGAACGACAAGAATGGGCAGATTCAAAAAAAGAAGAGGAAGCTATATTTGGCGGTAAGAATTAGAGAAAAGAAATGAGAAAATTCAAGGCTAAAAAATGTGAGATGCTGCTGCAAATGATTAGGTTGTCTACCTTGTGAAAATTCAAGACTAGAAAACATGGTCTCTAGTCCCTCTGTGTTCTCGTTACAGAACACATTGATTTAATTAAGTGTGAGAACGTATTTTTGAGTGGGACCACATTGGTTCAAGATCTCATTTATATGGTACGATATTGGATTGTGGTGCATGTGGTAGGATGATAATGGTTTAGGTTGTGACATTGGACGCGACTCCGAAGTTGGGTATAAATGATACTCTTAAGGCGATTAAACCCAACCCAATTAGGAAGATAAATTTTAGATAAGGAATACTTGGTAGACAAGTAGAGTCCTAAATGGAATATGAAATGTAGGCTGAGACAGAGCATTACTGTATAAATAGCACACCTCCATGGGTTGAGGTACACATTATGCATGTTGTAATAAATAGAGGGACTAAATTGGAGGAGGAAGAAGATAAAAAAATAAAACACAAAGATGCTGACACTAAATTGGGAACTCCATCCCTGTTGTTCAGATTGGTCTTCTAAATAGGGGGACTACATTCCCTGAGCACAAACCACCTTCATTATTGCAGAATTGATCTAATTCTCTATCAATGTTTTGGATTCTTTTATAATTATTTATAAAAAAAAAAAAAGGAAAATAAGAAAAGAAAAAATCATTTGAGTAATTAATTTGTTTCATTTCCCATATTTGGTCGGCAATGTGATTCCCTGCCATTATTCTAAGATAGGAGTAGTTGTAATATCTTACTAACTTTTCTTTGACTTTTATATATTTTATGGCCGCCTTTATAGTGGCATCTTCATGTTGGTGATTTTGGAAACATGTGCACGTTCACTGAGAGAGAGATCTGCAAAATAAACATATGAATCCTATAATTGAAGCACACTAGCTCATCACTCACACCTTTATGTTTGCTTTTAATATTTTCATTTTCTGTTTTCGTATTTCAGAATATATAAACAATGGATCCAGTCTGGTGGCCGAATCAAACACAACAATGTGATTTATGCTTCATAGATTATCAAATTAAACTTCAAACATATTCGTTGGTCCAAAAAACAAAAACTTAAAAAGAAAAAAGATAAGGGGTGTGTGCATGTGTGTGAGAGAGAGAGGAGGGGTGCAGGAGAGTGAAGGGCATCCAAAGCACAACATATGAATAGACAATCCTTACCTATCCTATATAGCATCGCCATGTCCGAAGTCTTCCCCGTGAACATGAACACCCATGTTTTTCCCAATTCATAATTCTAATCAGCAGAGAATTCCCAACACAAGCAATCATATTGAGTTTGTTCATCTACACTTGGCTCCAAATACAATAAACAAACTACAATTTCAAAATTAATTGAATCCAATGATATCAAAAAATTTCCAAATTATAATTAGCAAACAAACACAAGCTAACCTGAAATTGAGACTGAACCAAAAAGCAAACCTATATTGTATGCCTGTGGAACTTACATTGGTTGATATAAACAGTCAAAAAGCAAAGATGTTCCTCTGCAATAGGCACACAAACATGAGCCTTTTGACAATTTCTTGAATAATACCCTTGAAATATCCATCTTCTTAGTAAAGCAAATAAAGTTAATTAGCTTGTACAATTCACCATGTTAACATTTGAGAACTATTCTAGAAACTATTTCAAATAAAATTCTGGTCCTTCTCTTCTTCTTCCCTTTCTGTCATGAATTTATTTTCACAAGCTGGAATCAGGTTTGGATTTTCTGAATTATTACCATAAATCTTTGCAGCTAAACTTTGAGATGGCAAACAATTCCATACATAGAGAAACCATATATACTCGCACGACACAACACAAAGGTGAGGCCACATACCCCGTATTAAAACTATTGAAAACTAATGGGTTCAAACTTCTCATACATATTAAAGTTAGCACAATAGTTTCATAAAACATAAATCAAAATTTACAGAAAATTCAGAATATGTTTATTTTTATTATTTTTTAAAAAATTTTATATCCTAAAATAATTTAGCCATCAAAAAAATCTATCCATAGTTTCCAAAATACACATAATTCATATATAGGTTTTAGATAAGCCCAAAAATTATGAATGTAGAAACAAATTAAACATCTTGTGCTTTATTTATCTCACTCTGTTTTTAGTGCTTATGAGGCCAATTGACCTTCAAACTTTACCAGCAGCAAAGGAATGCATATCATGAAGAAACAAGTACACACCTTGGAGGGAAAATCACCTGGTTCCCAGTAGACTCTTGGAAATCTGTTCCAAGCTGCTTTGTGTGAAAGTATTTAGGCCAAGTTTGGCATCCTCAAAAAAATCCAAAAAGTCAAAAAATCACTATCCTGTTTAAGTCACATCATCTCTTATAAGTAACATTACCCTCTGATTCACTCATTCTCAAAAACAACCCCTTAGCTGTATCATATATCATTCTTTCAATGAATCTACCAGATCACGAAGAGGTTGAGAAACAGAGTCTTCATTTACTAGCAGGCAGTGGAGCATTGAAGAAGTCATTGCAACTCCAAGAGGGGAGAGAGAGTGTGTGTAGTCACACATCCAAACCCACAAAAACCAGATGAACCCATAAAACTAAATCCATAATTTCCAACAAAAACTAAAATCAAACCCATTTTGGACATCAGGATTTAAT